GAAGCAGCCAGTGGTCCAGAGGTTCTGAGCAGCCACTGTGACTGTGCATGTTTCACTGGGGGCTCAAGGCCAGCTCATTCAGCTGTAGATCTGCTGCAGAACACATGCTCTCACCAGACCATTCCCCTCGCAATAACTGACTCAAGTAAGCTACTGTTGGGTCATTACTCCACACCTTCACTAATTTTGGTCAAACATTAATGCAGTTTCTAGTTAAAATACCCTTTATAAGAAACTACAGCTCTGCATGATAAGACAGCGACATGACCTTGCCAAGAGTTGTTTACTTCCAAGTACAGTGGACAGCTGAGGAAAAGAAAAAACAAAAGAGCTGTGTTTCACTTACTAAATATACCCAGTTATGGTCCTTATCCTCACACTTCATTGTCAGTACAGTACTGTAAACTACATGATAAAAGCATTGCTGTCCAACCTGCATGTGCATTCAGTGAACATGCAGGTTTAGGGTCAGATTTTGCAGTTTTCAGCCCATAACATATTATGTTGTAAACATAGTGGCCAATGGCCATGTTATAATCTCATCTGTCTACAAAAGCATTTATTAGGAGCTGAGAGAGCTGCTATAACGTCTCTGCTATGTTCCCATGTTGGGAATCCCATGCATCACATACCAAAGTACACATAGTAAGCATGGTACATACTCCTCCCTGTCACACATTTGTACACCAAGCAGCATCATTAACTATCTGGGGCACATGATCGATAATGTTCCCTATAACCCATTTTTGAGTTATGGGGGTATTGGTTATTATAGAGACAGAGGCTAAGGAGGTCAAAATGAGCAATTAATGGAATTGTTCTGGGTTCTTAAAATACAGATATCAGGAGTGACTATATGTTGTAAAAAAAAAAAGTTAAATATAAATGTAAAAAAAATGGCTGTGAGAAAATGATTAATAATGATGTCAGAAATATGAATAAAAGCAATAAGTGATACATGGCAAAATTAAATAAGGCTAAAAAAGTTCTTGACTGCCCATATTTCAGTCTGTAATGTCACCTTGCCCTTATAGAGAGTCATGTAAAACAGAATATCTAATAGGCACGCAATCACGTTATGCAAGCTGAAACTTGATGTGTTTTCTATTCAGCCCAAAGTCCTTGGACCTTATTGCAGACGAGAGGCCTAAGTTGAAGAGGGCTGTTCTTACTTTAGCCCCTCGATGCACTCTGGAAATTGCTCACTTTCCTTTTTTAGCCTTGGCTGACTCATGACATGGGCCTGTCCCAGCTCAGATTCTCCTGAGTCACAGATCTACCCCCTAACCTGCCCCAGCTGAGGATCACACTGCCCTCTGAGTGTCTTCTACTCCTGAAAAACAACAGGTGCAATGTCTGCAGGCTCCCCATTCTGCTTCTGTCCCACCACAATGTTATTCCACACTGCTGGGTCCAAACATTCGATCCAGCTATGCATACTAATCACCCAGTCTATTCATACACACACATACACTTTAACTATTGCACTGTAGTCTACGTACATTTACACAACAGGAGCAAGAAAATTACTTTTGAAAGCCTAAGAAAATAAAACATAGTATTATCGCTTTAGGTAGCCTTGTTTGCTTATTGATACACACTGCATTTTTTTAGGTCACCAACTGGTGGACTGTGGTTTTATCTTTAACCCACTTTTTCTAAAGGTGAATGTGGATGAGGCAAAAGGAGAGGAAATGACTGTTGCATGAGAAAACTCAACTGACCTTGCTTACTCACCAAACTTACAGTACATCTGCAACAAGTATGTAATCATTATACAGCACAGCAGCTGGATTCTCACGAGATTTGGGAGGAATTGAGAAGTAGAATCAGGTTACAATTTTTCCTGAAATGGTGTTAATAAAAATAATGTACCCTAAACCTATGACTTTATCATTCAGTATGTAAGTTGGGATACGTGCAAAAAGCACTAAGGTCTGTTAAATTGGGATTGTGTGCTGCAAGCTGGATTCTCCAGTTACACTCATACATAAACAACATAATCATTAATCTGCACAGGAAAGCCATGTTAAACAAAACAAGAACAAAAAGGAAGTATTTTCTGACAGAATAACTGTGCAAAAAGTGGTCTGTGTCCACTGAGAAACATGTAGTGTCAGCTCATCTTGGCTCATAAATAACATAAAAGAGTAGGGTTGCAAGCTAGTTATCGCACAGATTAATCAAAGTTTTTAAAAAATCTGAAGTGGACCCTAAAAATATATACATTTAAAATATATCTAAAATAATTTACAGTGACAACATCAGAGAAAAAAAACTAAATGTTTCTGAATGGTATGAGTCTAGTTTATACTAAACAGACAATACACAACACAAGCTCTTAGGGACAACGGCCTTCCAAACCAGACTGCTCCCATCCTGTGAGTTATTTTAATGATTGGAGGCAATGGCCAGATAAAGAAACCTTATTTAATCTGTCTGACTCAGCTCTTGGCAGCACTTTTTCCTTCAAACCCAGTGAGCAGTGCTGCACAGAGGCCTCTTCATCATCTCTGAGTACACAGGCAGGAATGTGTGACTTATACTATCAAGTAAAACACGCTAAGGATCTGAGCAATTCAAAGGTATAAGAATTGTGAAAGAATTAATATGTTCTAGTTTCTGGCTCATGTCACACAACAGATGGTAGCTAAGAAGGGCTGTGTACACTCCTGGTAAATCTGATCAGAGAGACATACTACACTAACAATTGTATTAACGCAATGTCAGTGTGTCCTATCAAGTAACTTTTTTTTTTTTTTACTTGAACAAAATTGATTTTTAGATGTCTCTTTGATCCAAAGTTAAACAGAGGATTGTTTTTATACACTCCCTATCTTTCACTATGTCATCTTCCCTGCAGCACATTGCCTGCCTGACATTTCTGAACACTACAATAGTTGACATTGTATTTTTGTCTCGTGCTGACGCTGAACCACTGGATGAAACCAGCCTGCTCCAGTATGCACAGAGGATGCTGTGTGATGTGATGAGTAACTTCCTCTCACTGTCACTGCCTACACCCCTTATAAGTCTAAGATAGCCCTGTAAGAAAGATAGAAACTTATTACTGATGAAAAATGTTTTATACATGACTCAAAGGTGCACTGTGTAACATTTCTAGGGGAGGGTCTATCACAAGGGAGACAAACAGATTACAGCACTACGCTACATTACAATTCAGATCTGTGGAGAGTCGCCCCTATTAACAGAAGGAATTATTGTATTTTTGAGCAATAGAAACACCTGAATGGATGGAAAAGTTTAAAGTCCTGAGAAATCAATTCCATCAATTTCCATGGAGATAAGCAGGTGGCAAACACACCACTAGAAAGGTTATGCAGTGCACCTTTAAGGTTGTTACAAGCAAATATCACATCCACCCAGTGAATAATTTACTTTTATAAACTCTGCCTTTACAACCAATTGTATTTTCAATTCACACCATTGTATCAAATCAAATGTATATACATGATATTTTTTTCTCCATATGAAGAAACACCCCTAGATGTCCTACTGACCCCAACCCAGTTTTGAGTTTCCATCAAAACAAGTTGTCCAAGTCCACATGTCTGCCTGCTACAGAGGTTAAATATATATGTCAGGCTGGCATAGCAGCTCTCAGTGTCAGTTTTCAGTACAAAACAAACTTACACGCACTGGGCCATTATGGGATATGAGAATAAAATCTCTGTCTGTAAGCCTATTTGCAGAATAAATAAATAAATAAATAAATAGGATAGGACAGAGAAATAAATACATTGTCATACATTTATAATCCAATGTGCAACAACAACCAGGCTTTTATTGAAGATGCTGATTTAAGATGGTGTGGCTCCAGTCACTGCTTGACTTTTCACCATGTGTTACCTAAAGGGTAAGAGTTGCAACAGAAAAATACTATTCTGTGTATCTAATAAAAATGTATGTATACTTATATATATAATGTAATGAGAATAAGATGACTTTGAAGCCTTCCACGTTTGTAATCTCCGCGGCAAAATTAAGTTTGTGTGTGGCACCATTTCACCCAGTAACAACACTGCTTTATCAAAAGGATCTGTGTTTTTGCGTAATATGAGGAATGTCAAAGGTATGATGTACCTGTTTACAAACATCCAACAGAAACACCAATCACTATTTTATGGCCTTGATCTACATACTCCACAGCACTGCCAGCTCAGCAATTTCTAGAATATGATAAGATTGAAAGGGCTGCAAAATCAAAACAAAAGGAAAAACCATTAGCATTACCATTAGCAAGCATTAAGTTTATACGTTTACTAGATAAAATGTCCTGCTACTGCTGTTAACAGTGAAACATATTTATATAGTGGGTTTCAGTGTCTGAACTGTTTCAATCAATACACTCATAAAAACTAAAGATAATACATTAAAAATTGCCTTAAAGTACATATGCATTATCATTTTGCTCTGGGCACTTACATTTTTTTTTTATTGATATATGACCTTGCAATATTCTAAAACAAAAAA